ATAGAGCGTGTGCAAAACACCTTGGCTCTTCCGAGAATCCAGTCAGTAGAATAACTTAACAGATTTGGCTACAGGATACGGCCCTGACGAATGCCAGACCGAATGGCGAGCAGTTATGCCGATTATAGACGATAACTCGCTCAGTAGTAGGCCCGTATCATGGTGATGGTCCTTGGCAATACAGTGTCCAGTACCATTACCCGCCATAGGGTTTCACTACAGAGGGAATCGCACTGCGTTGTACGGCACTGAGATCTGAGCCTCGAGGTTACCAATGAAGACGTTCTCACTTACGAATTTCTAGCGTCTCAGCTGGAATGTATCAGTCCAGCGGCAACTACGTTTTCACTACATGCAAACGTTATCAATCTCGACATTAGACGGGAATATTGAAGTGGCCAGTCTTCCTGAACATCAGTCATAAACGGCCGGAGTCACCGGCGTTTACCAAATCATCAATTAGGTTCAGTGTACAGGGCTTTAATAATCATCTTATCTAATAGGCTGGTGCTGAAACGACTTTGAAAAAGCGGCCTTAAATTAGAAAAATAAGGTGGAGAAGGAATCTTGGAAGCAGCAGGCAGTCAGTGCTGTTCGTCTATTTGTCGTACGCAAATAATTGTCCCGTCTCTGGCTTTCGTGGAAAAGTCAAATCTCAAAGCAGGGCTTAGAATCCAAAGCAACGATAGACCGCGCCATTTATTGATTTAACGCTTCAGAGGTGCGCAGAGCACATACCTAAGTCGCCGAATAAAAAGTAAATTTCATGCTGAATCGATCACCTATCTGAGAAAAACACGATCCTTACAACAACTAATAAATAAATAATGGACTTGCCGTGACTGACAGAACGCGCTATCCGTCTGTGACTACGGGACTCTAACATAAGTACTAAACAATAACACATCTGGATATCATCAGTGGTATTCGTAATGACATAACCAGTCCCATATGTACTCAACCGAGCCTTGAGGTTGACGGTTTTTTAATTACTTCTTACAGACGGAAGCAGTCCAATCGTACTTACGCCGCCGGAAAGACAGAACTCAACTTAGTACGTTTGGGGAAGAAGAATCGTAAAATGCATTGATACGCGAAGATTAGCAAACGACGGAGATGTTGCAAGTTTCGCTTGAAATTGAGTAATTTTACCTTAGCATAGAACTAGCAACAGTCAACGGAGGAATTT